ATAGGATTAGATCCATGGGCACTAAGTCAGACGGCCTCGACGGCCAACGGCTCGGATCTTGGTTAGCTATTCAATTATTCTTGAAATTGGCTACAAAAATTTGCTGATAACTTCAGCGTTCAGAGGCGGTGCGTCGTCTTGCTGGAAAAATATGTTTTCGAGTTCCATTAAGGGCATATCATCAATAAGGGGTTCAAAGCCTACTAGTTAAAAGTGGCAAACTTTGAAAAATTTTGTATTTCGAAGGGGATTATAACACAATATTAAGTGTGCTATATTTTTGGAAAGGTAATTTTAAATTCTTTTCAGTTAATTAAAAATATACAGGGTGTCCCAAATAAAAAATTAATTTTTCTGTTGATAACTCTTAAATTATTAATTTTAAAAAAATTATACTTAAACCATTAAATTCTACGTAAAAAGGTGCTATGGAAATGTTTTCCTAGAAATACAAAATTTTCCATATTAAAAAAGTTACAGCGATTTGTTAAAAATGGACATTTTTGAGAAACACCCCGTAACTCCAAAACGGTAACAGATATTGATGTGCGGTTTTCACAAATTTATCATGCTTTTGACAAAAATTGAGCTCCAGACACCGATATTAGTTTTCGTCTATCTTCTATAGAAAAGGGTGTTTCCATTTAAAAGCGTCGAATTTGACCCACCCTGTACATGTTTAAGGAATAGCAATACTATAACTCCTTTACCTTTTATAGGTAACAATTCTCAGTACCACGGGAATTATAAAATATAAATTATAGAATTAGAATTTGGTATTTAATTTTTCATTTATATATTTTATTATTGAACAAGAAATTATTGCAATGGATTCATGTTACTTCTAATTACGTTAATGAATGATATCCATAATTATTAGACCTATATTAGCATGTTAATTATTGCAAATTAGTGGTAACACAGTGATAGAAATTGGCAGTAACTTTATACTTAACTTGATGCCCCATTATAATTACCATAATGTAATTATTTAAATAAATAAACGATATAAATTTAAGTAAGATTATAATAATCGAGAGAAACACGTATAAAAGATAGAATAACCGTATATACATAGATTTATTTTTAACCAACATATACAGGCAAAATATAGATAACTATTTTTTATTTACAGGGTGACGCCTCTCATACGCCGCGGAGGCTCCAAAGAGAACGACAGTTTGTATTGAAATTAAATTTTGTAGGCTTATGTAAGTTAATTTAGAGTATTTTTTAAAAATATAGAGAGTTCTACAGGGCGTCCCCAAAAAAATTAATTGATTTTCGGATTCTGGGAGAAAAATAAAGGTGAATTTTCTAATATACTATTTGACTGAAATGTAAGGTTTTTGACATATTTAACATTTTCTAGAAATAAAGAACAATTTTTAAATTACAATAAAAGCTACCTAAATTGGAATTTACCCGGTATAACTTAATATGTAGTTATATTACCTATTGTACTTTAAATCAAATTAAAACTTGATCCAAAAAGTTGTACAGGATGAGACAAAATTAATATTGAACATTGGTCACCTTCAAAAGTATGTTAATTTTTTATTTTAAATGGAACACCCAGTATATTATTCTGATATTCAATAGAAAATTCATGTCTCTTCAAAATACCATTAAGGTTGCTTATCCCTCAAACAAAGATTTTCCTAGGTATTTTCATTTACATGATTTGATCTGAGTAGATCTTTATTATTTGATAAAGTCTACTTAGGTGGCTAATCTATATGTCTGACGTTACTTCAATATAGCTATCTAATTAGTCCAACTTTAACAACTAGTTATTTTGTGTCAGTTAAAACAAAAAAAATTCACAGAAATTTGCCGAAAATGCAAACTTATCCTAGATCGAGAATTGACATGATTCTATTAGTTGGTGAATGTAGTGTGCATTCACCAATTAATGGAATACTTAAATGCTATTGATTTTATCTAGTCTGGTTTTTTATGGAGATATGTTAAAGACAGTGTTTACAAAAGTCGACCAACTATTGTCGACAACATGCGAGAAATTATTGTAGCTTCTTTTCGAGGTAGAACTCCACATATGTCTTTTAAAGGAGAATATCCCTTTGGAAAAGACAATCATTTTATGCAGTTAACAGGAAAGCAAGCATTTTGAGCATTTGGTTTCGTCTAGTTAATTTTTGTCACATAATTATAGTTTTATATCTAGTTTTAATTCTGTAATAATTATAAATATGTATTTTAAACGTGTATCTTTTTATTACTGTTGAGTATTTTACTCTACAATCTATAATTTTTGTTAAATTAACAAAAGGTATATCAGAGCCACCTAGATTTTTTCAAATTATAAAGATCTACTAACTCAAAATCATAAAAATTAAAATATCTAGAAATAAAATTAAAATATCCTTAATAACATTTTAAAGATATACGAATTTCCCATTGAACACCGGAATAATATACTGGATATTCCATGTAAAATAAAGGAGTAACTTGCTTTTAAAAGTGACTAATGTTCTTTATTAATTTTTTTTCACCCTGCATAACTATTCGGGCCAAATTTCAATTTGGTTTAACATACAATGGTTACTGTAATAAAATATCAGGCTATACAAGGTCAACTAAAATTTAGGTAGCTGTTATCGAAATTTTAAATTTACTCTTCATTTTTACAAAATGTGAAGTATGTCAAATTTCTTAGATTTTAGGTATATGCTTCTTTAATAAAACTCACCATTATTTTTTTCTTAAAATCCGAAAATCAGTTAATATATAGGGTGTTCCATTAGAAAAAACACAACTTTGATGTGTAACTTTTTTTGGGGACACCTGTATAATTCTATATATTTTTATAAAATGCTTTCAGTTAACCTACATATGGTGCCAAAATTTCATATCGATATAAACTACCATTCTTCTTGGAGCTTCCCCCAGCTTACCCCAAACTAACCCCCAGTATGACAAACTTAAAAAAGACAAATCTACAATCCATTATTAAGCTCATTAAAAAATAGTTTTACAATAATACTGTTCTCGACATCTAACTTTTAACAGCGGGTTTCTGAATTACTTCGCTTTAAAGGAACTTAAGAAGAGAAAAGATCGAATTTTACAAAGAGGGACGAGGTCAATTGAGAAGTAAATTAAGTTGAACACACGGCAAGAAACTTGACCGCCTTCCAGGAATAAAAGAGCCAAAATGGCTTCCCTAAACTGCACTTTAGAGCTAAGAGACGAATGTTGTTTAGTCGTTTTTTTTTGTAAAAGACCTTTGAAGAAAAGAGTATAAAACTTTCGATGTTATGTATACTTATTGTATTGTTTAATGTAAAAATTTATTTAGAAAGTGTGTTTCGTATATTGCAGAATTATGAATATTTTTAGTAATCGAAGAGCTAGCAATATTTTCGAGAAAGTATTTTAAGACGTCTGGCTCTTTGGTATATCTTTTACTATGCTCTCTGGAACAGCATGCGGCCCGTGTGGCTGCCGATACCCGTTGCGTTCACTACTGCGCATCGGAAGAAGGTATATTTTTTATTAATTTAGTCCTATAAATTCTAGTATTGAATATAAATCGAACATTTGTCCATAGCGCAGTGCGTAGAGTTTTCGACCACGAACCGATGATTCAGAGTTTGAATCCGGATCAGGACAAAGACTTTTTTTATTTTATTTTCGTTTATATTCTGACAGTAAAGTATTAAATAGATCTGGTGATTCAAAAAAAACAAATATTTAATACTTTACTATCAGAATATAAACGAAAATAAAATAAAAAAAGTCTTTGTATCATCGGTTCGTGGTCGGAAACTCTACGCACTGCGTTATGGAGACATGTTCGATTTATATTCAATACTAGAATTTAGAGAACTAATAAAAATATAGATTCTTCTTTCAATGCGCAGTAGGGAACGCAGCGTTTACCAGTAGCCAGACGGGCCGCATGCTGTTCTAGAGAGAATAGTAAAAGATATATCAAAGAGCCAGACGTCTTAAAATACTTGTTTTTCCGACGTTGCTAGCTCGTACTATAAGAGATCCTTCCGATACTTAGGCCAGTAAGCGAGGGTTTTAGGGTCCGAATTCTAAACACCTACACCGATTGACGTGAAATTTTAACAGTGAATAGAGAGTTTTATATGTAAGAAACAAAAGTTACCTAGTAGCGATGTGTGCTTTTACCCTGGGGTGCGTGTCACCCCTTCTCGGTGGGAAAAATAAATCACCCATTTTAATTGGAAAAATTAATAAAGGAATGAATTCTAAGTAAAAAATGTTCTATAACATTTTTTCAGAAAATTAATATTTTCCGAGTTATTTAGGATTGAAAATGTTGATTTTTCATCTAAAAACTGCATATTTTTCTGCCATTTCTTATAAATAACTCGTAAACCTTGCGTTTTATCGCAAAACTCACATAAAGAAGAAATGAATCTTTTGGAATAACGAATCGACTCATTTTTTGTTGATCACCGTAGGTGTAATAATAGACGAGTTATCACTCTGTAAAGGTGATTTTTTATTTTTCGAAAAAAATTGCCACTTTTTACCGTAAAATAATGGCGAAAGACACATTTTTCGAAGAAAATTAATATGGCGGTTTTCAAAGTGCTTGAAAAGACCTTTTAAATGCTTTTTTTAAGAGGTCTTTTTAAGTTCGTAGCTCAAAAACTCGCGGAGTTATGATAAAAATAAAATGATCACATAATTTTTTCGGAAAAAAATTAACAACAAAATCTATGCCTAAAATCATAAAAATAAAAACTAACTAACAAATCAATTTGTAGGAAATTATACGAGCTACAAATTAACTTCTATAGTTGAACAGTCTAGATCTCTTCATTTTTACAAAATTTTTGGTTTTTAAGGGCTCGAAGAACGTACACGCAAGTACAACTAAAAAAACGTTTAATATCTACGAAATAAAGATATCTACAGAAAATTGAAAGAGAGCAAAAATATTGAAAAAAAAACACCTTCAATTAAAAAAATTATTCTATTTTTTACAAATATAAGTTCTAGACTTCATCTTCTTCCATATACTTTCCACCAGATTCCTCTGTGCCAGCCATATCTGCGTCATTCTTTGCCACATTTTCGGACGTTTCATTAATATCAACGACACCATCTTCACGGTCCGCCCGGCCAGTTTGGTCGGCTTGATGGATCGGCGCTAAGCTCTCCATTAATCTAGAAACCTACAATGGAAAAAGCAAATGAAAAGTTTCAGCGATAGGTCCAGTCGGCCTGTACTAATTCCATTCAAACGGTTCTTTTGTTAATTTAGAGATATAAGGGATTTATTGATAAGAACATGTGTAAAGAATGAAGAATACCGGGTGCGTCCCAAAAGTGGCTCACCTCCTATAACTTTTTTATTTTTTCAGATAAAATAAGGTGTGTTTGTATATGACATAAATTGGGATTGATTGACGTATTCAATTGTTTTTGGTCATTTCACTGAAAATAACTACAATTTTTATTTTCAAATGGCACTCTCGATATATTTTCTTGGAATTATGGTGCGTAATAAAATGTTTTTTAAAGTCAAACACGTTATTACAGTCAGTGTTTCGATCTTTATCAAAACCTTGGACGTCACCAAAACATAATTATAAATTTATATTTAAGGTGCCCGGTGGCGTAGAGGTACAGCTCTCGCCTACCAAACTGAAGGTTGTGGGTTCGAATCCTACAGCCGGCATTTCATCAGCCAACTATTTTTATTAAAATAAAAATAGTTTGGGTACCTAGGTCGACTCAGCCTTAAATGAGTACTTGGGATTCACAATCCTGAGGTAATAATAGGCGGTTGAAGCGTAGTGCTAGCCACATTACCTTCCTTCGAACGGCTCTACCATGGCAAGCTGTTCCTATATTAATAAATGTACACTTGCGTGCATAGAAATCGGCCCAAGGCAAACTTTTAAAGTTAACTATATATTTTTTAGAATCTATTTATTTATCACATTAAGAAAAAATATATGCTGTTTGAAAGACAATTTCATATTCTTTGAAAAGAGTTTAGAGATATTAATTTGTATTTTGGTTTCTTTGGATTAAAATTATTAAATTAACGCATGAAACAAATTATCGTTTTTTATTACTAAGAGGTAGGTATGTTATTATTTATTTATTTATGGACAATTAACTAAACTAAATTTTCAATAATGTGTATGACCCCCTCTTGCTCTAACAACATCTCTCATACGATTTGGCATAGATTCGATAAAATTTGATATTGTTTCTTGGGGGATGTTAAGCCACTCTTCCTCTACTGCAACAATGAACTCGGGGATAGAAGTTGGGGCTCTTCGTCTAGCACGAATTCTTCGTTTTAGCTCATCCCATAAATGTTCTATCGGGTTTAAGTCTGGACTGCATGCTGGCCATTCCATAACCCGAAAACCGACATCTGAAATGTAATCGTGTACGATTCTTCTTCGCATTGTCCTGCATAAAAGTGAATTCGTTTCCAATGTAGTCGACATAAGGTACCACATGAACTGCTAAAATCTCCTCAATATACCTAGCACCAGTTAAACCTCCTCTCTCGTACCGACGGTCGCCCCAACGGATGAAAACTGGATCGGTTCGCGCAGTCGTAGATATTGCACCCCAGATGATGCAGGAACCACCTCCATAAGCAATCCGCTCCTCAATGCAGCATTCTGCGAATCGCTCACCTGGCCTCCGGTACACTTTTCTTCTTCGGTAGCTACCATGGAAGCATATCCTGGTCTCATCTGAGAATAAAACAGATTCCCATTGTTCTAGTGTCCAATTCAGATGTTCGCGTGCAAAACGCAGGCGTGCTTGGCGATGAGCTGGGGTAAGTTTTGGACCAATTGCATGTGTTTTGGGGGTCATGTTACTTTCCTTCAATCTTCGTCTTACTATCCACTGACTAATAGTCATTCCTCATGTTTCACGGAGCTGTTGTTGCACCTGAATAGCATTAATACGCCGATTTCTTAACTTTGTTAACACAATAAAGCGGTCATCACGATCTGTTGTATATCTCTTTCTACCAGTTCCAGGTCGCCTACAAAAGGATCGAGTCTCCTCATATCGTTCACACACTCTTCGAACCGCTCCGCGTGTCATATGTAGTTGCCAAGCTACAGCTCTCTGTTTAAGTCCATTTCCGATTAAAGCGATTACTTGGGCAGCTTTTTCCGGTGATGTATGCATTAAATTGAAACACTAATCAAACAGTGAAACACAACTAATCAAAGAATAAAAGAACAATGTGAAAATTTCGATTACAAATGTAGTAATTGCAATATTTCACAAGTTTGTTATTCTTATTGTTGCCACAACACAAATACCTTTCATTTGTTTACCTGTTGCTACGCAAACGATAAGTACTCTGGATAATATATTGATTATACTCATATTAAGGCATGTTAAATTGTCTTTGAAACAGCTCATATTTTACTTGCTCTGGTAGATTCTAAAAGACACAGTTAAAACCAAAAGTTCGCAGTGGGCCGATTTCTATGCACGTAAGTTTAATAACTGTAATGGCTGTATAAATGTAATAACTGTGTAATAAATGTAATGTTTAACTTTAAAAAAACATTTTATTACGGACCATAATCTCAAGAACATCCTTCAAAAAAAATATAATATCTATTGTCTGAAGAATGATATAATCCAAAAAGAACTATTTCTACTTTATTCGATAGAAAATAACACTCTGAATATAATGACATATCATATGTCAACTTTTTAACGTTTTTGCTTAAAAAATCGTATTTTAAATTTCAATCTAGTGCCATGGCTGAATTAAAAACACTAATGTTAAAACAAGAAGCCTTGGAAAATAGATTTGATCGTCTAATATTTTTCGTCGTGCAGATTTTGTGGGGAAAATGGGGAAACACCAGAACACCTTATCACTGAGTGCGCCGAGACGACGACCATTCGTGCCATGAACCTTGGCACGTCTGATGTCGAGGATGGAGAGCTGGCCTCTGTGGAGCCGTCTCAGATACTGGCTTTTCTCAAAGCCCTGAGACTGTATGATGAGTTATAACTCGTTATAACTCAAGAAAGGGGAACACACAATAGATCTGTAAGGTCGCGGTGATTAACTCCCCTTCTAAACATTCTACATTCTACATTCTACAATATTTTTCGTGTCTTGTCCTGTCCGTGTCTTAACAGTTGATCAAGTCGTATTTTTAATCATATCTCAATTTTTTCAAATGTTTAAAGGTGGCTCACTAGCGTGTTTGGAAAAGGCATTTTTTTACGAATAATTTGAACCACACACTTGGATTTCGAGTCAAATTGTCGTTATGAACTGCTTGTTACAATTTCAAATAAACCATATGCGAAAGTGTCAAAAGTTGACATATGATATGTCATTATATTCAGACTGTCATTTTCTATCAATTTAAGTAAAAAAATTCAGAGGGTGACATTTAAAAATTAAAACTTGTAGCCATTTCCGGTGAAACAGGAAATGACCATAAACGATTGAATACGTCAATCAGTTCTAATTTATGTCACATTTTTTTTTCAGTTCTAATTTATGTCACATACTAACACACTAAACCTCATTTTTTTTTCTGAAAAAATAAAAAAGTTATTGGAGATGAGCCGCTTTTGAGACTCACCCGGTATAAGGTAATTGTCGCAATTTTTGTTCTAATTCTAGGGAATATTAGAAAAAAGGTTTTGGTTTTCTAAAATCACTTTTATTCAAGGATCAATCAATAGTATATTATAAAATCTCAGAAAAGCAAAACAACGTTACTGTACAGAGTGTCCCATTTTCGTGTGTTTTTGGGGGTTTCTCGTTTATGAATATAGATACAAAGATGCGATTTTAACATCACTGAGCTGCTTTTTTTATGAAACTTAAGAATTTAAAAATTTGTCCTAGCCTTCGTAGTTCCTGAAATACAGGGTAAATTAAGAAAAAAATATATTTTTTGACTCTTCGTATTTCGGTGTCTTATAACTTCAGAATAAAAATATCTCGGAGACTAAAAATAAAATCATATCGTTCTTAAATTATAGTAATTTTCTATTTTTGTACTTGTATCAGATATTTTTATCTCTTTTGAGGTATTATATTACTATTACAGGTACAGATCTTGTAATGCCGAATCAATAAACCTGTCTATCTATAGAGCCACGCGCTTAGAGAAAAACAAATCAAATAAAATGACGATACTGATGTACGGTATCTAATTGCTCTATTTATAGGATACCTATTTTTAATTAAGAAAAAAGGACTATTTCTCATTAAGTCATACCAGAAGTTTTTTTAGAAACACTACAGAATTTCTAATGATTAAAAATATACAGGGTGTTTCAAAACAAATGCGAAAAACTTCAGGGGGTGATTCCTTGTTCAAAATAAAGGGTAGTTTGCTTTATAAACGTTGGGTCAAAAGTCAACCATTAGGGAGATATCGCGGTACAAAGATGGCGGAAAAATAATGTTTTTATTTTTTATCTTGAAAACGAAAAGAGATAGACTAATGAAATTTTACGGAAGCATTACTGTTATGAAAACACACTTTCTGGTAATTTTTTACTTTTTAAAATGAGTGGAAGGGTTTGAAATAAACTACCCTATCATTCCTGTTAATGAAATTTAAAGAAAAATCTTATCAAACACATGCAAAAAAATAATTTTGATAGTTTAGTTTATTTAGAAACTTTTTATCTCTTGTGTTTTTTTGATAAAACTCACCGATTTGAAATTAAAAAATAAAATGTAAAGCATTACATGTCAGGACAAAAAACATTTTTAGATAAAAGAATCTAGTGGGCAGCTGTAATTTTTAGGAAAAATCTAGTCGGCCGCTGTCACTTTTTAGGATGTTTCTAATATTGTTTTATTTGACATTACCCTACTGCAATACGTTATTATCTAGATTATTATTATTATCATTATTATCACTAGATTCTTAATCTAAAAATATTTTTAGTCCTGACATGTAATGCTTTACATTTTATTTTTTAATTTCAAATCGGTGAGTTTTATAAAAAAAAATACAAGAGATAAAAAAGTTTCTAAACAAACTAAACTATCAAAATTAATTTTTTTGCATGTGTTTGATAAGATTTTTCTTTAAATTTCATTAACAGGAATGATAGGGGTAGTTTATTTCAACCCCTTCCACTCATTTTAAAAAAGTGAAAAAATTACCAGAAAGTGTGTTTTCATAACAGT